CGGGCCCCCGAACCCCCGCCAGGGCCTTGGGGCCGGGGCTCGACAACGCTGGGCGTGATCTCGTCTACAAGGTTGGTCAAAACATCATCAATATTTGGGAGTTTCTCTTCGAAACAAAGCCGCAACATAGAGGGGAACGTACTTATGTGCTCAGAAGAAGAAAAGTGGAGACGCTTTTGAGGGGTTATCATAAAGCACCATCGGAGAGGGAAGTTGCATTTCTCGACCGCTTGGAGACAATGTACTTCGACCAACAAATCGGGGCGTTTACAATCGCAGGTTATGCGGCTTGTTTTGTGGATTGTGAGGACTTTGATGCCGACGACTCTGAAGAAGAGAGTGTTGATGACACTTTACAAGCGGCTTTGGCAGATGAGAGGCAAAGAGCTTGTAGCCCGGCTTCGCAGAGAATGGGTGTTCCAGGCACATCGTCCGGTTCTGGAGGAGCTTTGAGCATGGCGGTTTCGACGGATCAGTTAATGACTCGGCCGCTGACTTCTTCTATTGCTACACCGACTCAGATGGCGGGCAATACGATGACGGTGCCATCCGGAAGCAGTCTGGATCCGAAGCTTCAAGCAATGCTTTTCCYAGAGTTGTTGGCAACTCTGTTACCATTTGCACACAGCCCAAGTACTGTTATGGAATTGCTATGCTCTCGAACTCCACAACAACCTCCATCTGATGAGCCTTTGGAGTACGAGATTGGAGACATAATCCCTGCGGACATTGGACTGCTTTCGGGGCCTATAGTATGTCGAGAAGATTATACGGTGACGGATAATGCCACATGGGGTCATCACATTATATGGCACCCCCAACACTTTGAACCTGCATTGGCGAGAGGGATGTGGGTTATGACTATAAAAAAAGAAGGGGAGTGGTAGTTTTGCCTCCACAGACGTATGTCAGAATCGAACTTTCTCAAACACGCCAAGAATCAGATTGCCAAGCGACTCATGCGACTTAATCCGGAGGTTTCTCAATCAAGACTAGATGTAAGAAGCGAAGAAATTTTCCAAGAGTTCAAAACATCGCAGTGGCTTGAGTATCTGGAAGAGTTCTATGATAGACAAACCAGCCCGGCTTATGGATATAATTKGCATGTCGGAGAAGATCTTGARCACAAAGAAGGGGAGAGGAAAAAAACAAGYGGCGGTGGTGCGCATGGCAAGGGATCTGGATCGAGCGGAGGTGCGCATGGCAAAGGATTCGGATCGGGGAGCGGTGCAAGTGACAAGGCTCCGAGACCAAGYGACGGTGCAAGCRACAAGGACGCAAGTCGTGAGGAACTGCAAAAAAATGAAAGGTCTCAAGGGCGTCAAGCAACAGAAGGCAAGGGATCAGGATTAAGCGGCAGTGGGCATGGAAAGGGATCGGGATTGAGCACCGGTGCAAGTGCCGAGGGTCCRGCAACAACCGTCGGTGCAATCGGCAAGGGCATAAGTCCTCGTGAACTGCGAAAACCCGAAATGTCTCAGGGGCCTCAAGAAACAGAGCGCAAGGGATCAGGATCGAGCGGCGGTGCGCATGGCAAGGCTACAGGACCAAGCGGTGGTGGTTCAACTGTCGCGGTGCTTCACCTATCAAAGAGTCACATGGTCGTGTCGAACACGACACTCGTCCTGTATTCGAGCGCTCGCGGCTTGACCAAGCAAAGAAACTCACGACCGAGTCGAACACGACAGGGGTCCACTATTGGAGCGCTCCTAGCTTGACCGAGCGGAGAAAATCGTGGTTGAGTCCAACCCGACATAGCAATGGGGATCGATTGTCGGTGCGAGTGCCAAAACTTTGAGACGAAAAGGCGGTGTGAGTTGCAAGGGCGTGAGTACAGCTGACCAAGTTTGGGCGACTACGATGCTAATGGGCGACAGTGTCGCTATGGAAGTAGATATTACTAGTACACTCACGAAATTACAGATGCCGTCATCGACGATGCCAACCGAAGTAAGCGGCACTTTTCAGAACACTTTTAAGGGCGTAAAGGAGGAAGAAACTCTCCATGTACAAGACATCGAAGAGGATGAAGGACATACAGTACTAAGTACAACGAACCAAGGTGTACTTGTACAACCTCAACAAACGCTTGAACAACCTCAAACATCACAGTCTGCTAACCTCGTGATAGCTATCGAGGAATCTCCTATTACGCCATTGCATATGGAAGGTGTGACAGAAGGTCGTGTTGAAGAAAAACTGAGAGTTAGCCATTGAGGTGAGCACTTTCTTATCTTAGGAGAAATATCTAATACTATATGCGGATTAGTGGGTACATCACATGCACTCATCTCCCTTTGTGCAATGGTTTCGATCCCTCAGATGTATAGTTTCTTTACCTATCTTTGAAACTGTGTGTTTACTGAAGAGAAATGCTGCAATATCATGTGTTTTGGTAGAAGTGCAATTGCCATATATAATTTATTTTGTATTGGTATTCATGAGTCAGTTTCAACCAGGGTTGTCACGCGGGGATTCCCGGGGCCCAAGTCGGGGTACGGGTTTCACCCCCGGACCCCCGCCGCGGGGTTACCCGACCCCCGCCCCCGCNTCCGGTTCTGGAGGAGCTTTGAGCATGGCGGTTTCGACGGATCAGTTAATGACTCGGCCGCTGACTTCTTCTATTGCTACACCGACTCAGATGGCGGGCAATACGATGACGGTGCCATCCGGAAGCAGTCTGGATCCGAAGCTTCAAGCAATGCTTTTCCYAGAGTTGTTGGCAACTCTGTTACCATTTGCACACAGCCCAAGTACTGTTATGGAATTGCTATGCTCTCGAACTCCACAACAACCTCCATCTGATGAGCCTTTGGAGTACGAGATTGGAGACATAATCCCTGCGGACATTGGACTGCTTTCGGGGCCTATAGTATGTCGAGAAGATTATACGGTGACGGATAATGCCACATGGGGTCATCACATTATATGGCACCCCCAACACTTTGAACCTGCATTGGCGAGAGGGATGTAGGTTATGGCTATAAAAGAAGAAGGGGAGTGGCAGTTTTGCCTCTACAGACGTATGTCAGAATCGAACTTTCTCAAACACGCCAAGAATCAGATTGCCAAGCGACTCATGCGACTTAATCCGGAGGTTTCTCAATCAAGACTAGATGTAAGAAGCGAAGAAATTTTCCAAGAGTTCAAAACATCGCAGTGGCTTGAGTATCTGGAAGAGTTCTATGATAGACAAACCAGCCCGGCTTATGGATATAATTTGCATGTCGGAGAAGATCTTGAACACAAAGAAGGGGAGAGGAAAAAAACAAGCGGCGGTGGTGCGCATGGCAAGGGATCTGGATCGAGCGGAGGTGCGCATGGCAAAGGATTCGGATCGGGGAGCGGTGCAAGTGACAAGGCTCCGAGACCAAGCGACGGTGCAAGCAACAAGGACGCAAGTCGTGAGGAACTGCAAAAAAATGAAAGGTCTCAAGGGCGTCAAGCAACAGAAGGCAAGGGATCAGGATTAAGCGGCAGTGGGCATGGAAAGGGATCGGGATTGAGCACCGGTGCAAGTGCCGAGGGTCCRGCAACAACCGTCGGTGCAATCGGCAAGGGCATAAGTCCTCGTGAACTGCGAAAACCCGAAATGTCTCAGGGGCCTCAAGAAACAGAGCGCAAGGGATCAGGATCGAGCGGCGGTGCGCATGGCAAAGCTACAGGACCAAGCGGTGGTGGTTCAACTGTCGCGGTGCTTCACCTGTCAAAGGGTCACACGGTCGTGTCGAACACGAGACTCGACCAGTATTCGAGCGTTCGCGGCTTGACCAAGCGAAGAAACTCACGGCCGAGTCGAACCCGACAGTGAGATCGGGATCAATCGTCGGTAAAAGTGGCAAGGCTTCGGGATCAATCGACGTTGTTTCACCTGTCGAAGGGTCACACGGTCGAGTCGAACACGACAGGGGTCCACTATTGGAGCAGTCCCAGCTTGACCGAGCGGAGAAACTTGTGGTTGAGTCCAACCCGACATAGCAATGGGGATCGATTGCCGGTGCGAGTGTCAAAACTTCGGGACGAAAAGGCGGTGTGAGTTGCAAGGGCGTGAGTACAACTGACCAAGTTTGGTCGACTACGATGCTAGTGGGCGACAGTGTTGCTATGGAAGTAAATATTACTGGTACACTCACGGAATTACAGATGCCGTCATCGACGATGCCAGCCGAAGTAAGCGGCACTTTTCAGGACACTTTTAAGGGCGTAAAGGAGGAAGAAACTCTCCATGTACAAGACATCGAAGAGGATGAAGGACATACAGTACTAAGTACAACGAACCAAGGTGTACTTGTACAACCTCAACAAACGCTTGAACAACCTCAAACATCACAGTCTGCTAACCTCGTGATAGCTATCGAGGAATCTCCTATTACGCCATTGCATATGGAAGGTGTGACAGAAGGTCGTGTTGAAGAAAAACTGAGAGTTAGCCATCGAGGTGAGCACTTTCTTATCTTAGGAGGAAAATTTAATACTATATGCGGATTAGTGGGTACATCACATGCACTCATCTCCCTTTGTGCAATGGTGTCGATCCCTCAGATGTATAGTTTATTTACCTATCTTTGAAACTGTGTGTTTACTGAAGAGAAATGTTGCAATATCATATGTTTTGGTAGAAGTGCAATTGCCATATATAATTTATTTTGTATTGGTATTCATGAGTCAGTTTCAAGTTTCAACAACGGAAAGTCGAACTTGGAACTCATTATGTTTTATTTTGTCAATCATGCGGGGCGACGAAAAGAACTGTGGAAAACGACAGATGTACACTCGCAAAGGAAGAGAGAGAAGAATATCATTTGTCATGGCTTGCAAGCTTTATCAACTTTGTCGTTGTTGCCCAAAAATTAGAGAAGAAGTCGTACACCCATGACATTTCCATCTGTGAAGTCAGCTGCCCTAAGGATGTTTAAAGTTGTTGGAATAAGCCTCACAGAAGGGAAGAAATTGCATCGCGCAGGTTGCAGTTTACGTGTTATGGATAGCAGCACTGATGACGAAACAGATAGACAATCAACGACATGAGCTCATGTCTATGTAGTCTATCACTTGATGAAAAATCCTTTTTTGTGTGAAGTCTTAGTCGCTCTATTGTTGTTTATATGTGTGTTTGTATGCAGTACATGACCCTTCGTTTCAGATTTTTTTAGCAACAGTACCCCTTACTGTAGAAGAAAAGAAGTATCTTGAAATGATTACTGGCAACACTGAAGACAATGAAGAATACGGCATTGTCGATTACAAGGGGGGGTGGAAGGTGGAAAAGAAAGACATCATGGTCGCCGGTAAGGATGGGGAATGGTTAAATGATGAAGTCGTCAATTTGTACCTGCTGGCCGTTCAGATCACCAATGACTACATCAAGAAGGAGGATTCGACATGTGCAGAAGTAACAAGAGATGAAAGTTCTTATAACATTCCATCTGTGCATATTCTAAATTTATTTTTCTTTCCCAGATTGTCAAAGACTCAGTTCACTGAAATCGCATACTCCGAATGGACGAGATGGGTGAAGGACATAAATCTTTTCGATTTTGATTTGGTAATTATCCCTCTCCATTTCGGAAATCATTGGGTCTTAGCTTATGTCAGTATAGATCGCTTTGAGTGTAAATTCCACCTCGTAGACTCTCTCCATCGTGTTGACTACGGTCCAACCCTTGAACTTTTGACAGGTTTTTTCAGAGCGGAGTTTCATCAATATAATCTTCGGGAAAAATATCATGTGGAGGAGCCTACATCCTACTTTGATACATCAGTAGATGGGATTTCTGCTCAAGAAGATCCTTGTAGTTATGGTGTTTTTATGTTAGGTTTTGCATGTTTGTTGGCAAAAGGTCACTTCCCTCCGTTTGGTTTCTCACAAGATAGTATTCCTGATATGAGACTTAGAATAGGATTTGACATTTTGTCCATGGTTAGATAGGAAAGTCAATGAGAATTTCAGGTTCTAGGTTTGGAAAAATGAGGTTGACATGTTTACTAAGTGTGAACATTCCCGGTGAAAATGTGTATTGTAGGCAATTTTGAAAATATGTTGTATAATGACATTTCCTACAAGTTCTCATCAGTTATTGATGAGGTTTTACTAAGTGACATGTTTACAGAGTGGATTGACATTCCCAGAGTGAGAGTGGATTGACATTCCCTGAATGACATGTTTACAGCTTGTACGTGTGAACATTCGAGATGAAAATTTGCATTCTATTTCTTTCAACAACTTTCTTGTATAACCATTGTTTTCTCGTTGTTTGCTTATTTTTCGATTAGTTCTCTGTGTGATTTTACAATTAAAATAAAAAGTGAACATGAAAATAATTTCACTTTTAACGAAAACACTGTTTCAGCCAAATGTTGTTCTCTTTGTACTGTGGCATTATACATATTATTTTTTTGGATCTTTTTAATGATTTTTTTTTTTTTTTTTTTTTTTGCTTTTTCGTACGGGGGCGTACAAGACGTACAGGTTCCCATACAGGTCCCCGTACAGATCCCGTACAGATATTACCTGTACATTTCGTACGGAAAGACCCCGTACGTGTACTCYACTCAACGTAGTTCCCATCCAAATAACACAATACATAATCAAAATGGGTTACATTATGGTACTGAAAATGAAAGACCCGGGACCTATAATCAAGGAGCGATGGTCCAAATTGTTACGACAAGTAATGGAGCCAATCCCCGAAATTCCCTGGCGAAAATACGAGTTTATCCGACCAGTCAAAATTTGAAGCCTTCAATGGCTGATTACCTATAATGCCCTC